TCTGCGCTTATAATAGAAGGCTGTAATTTTACAATTTTACAAGTACAAATCGATTTTAGTGCTAGAATATATCTTCAACGTAGATCTAATACACGAACAGTATCTGTTACACTCCAGAAATTGCTTACTTTTCTTAAAACGCTAAGTCTAGGTTTTGTAAGTTGACTGAATAATAGGGATGACTTCTCGTAATTGGGTTATAAGAATAATTTCTAGCTTTCCAGGGACACTGAATCAGCACCAGACTTTTTCAGCTTTTTTTTACGTTTCTATGACCATTTGCAATAACTGACAATGTGACTGATTTCTTTACATTCATAATTGTGTCCGCGCATATTTCCTACACAAAAACTAAGAATGAATGTTTTAGCTGTCATTATTTTTATTCCATACTAGAAGTTTATCTCTACCCATGTATTTACACGGTTTTGTGGTTTTTTAAATCGCTTATATCATATCTTTTTAGTTGTATGCAGGCTGCCACAGACACAGCATGATTCATGAACAAACGCAGAGTAACTTTCTCTTGTTTAATAGTAAAATAAGAGCTAACGCTGATCGTCTTTAGTTAAAATATGCAGATGTGCATCTTTCTTCTCTTATAACTTGACTATTACTACTACCGCAGATTTAACATTTCTCATGGTAAAAGACATGATATTCATAGTCAATTTAACACAGATTTTGGAGAGATCTGTCGCGCCTTTTTAAAAATAACAATAATTTATTCATAACTTTGTAACTAAAATAGGACACATTGGGTACTCTACAAACACTTGTCTAGAACAAAAACTAAGGCACAGAAACTAACCATTCTAACGCAGAATAAATCTCAAGACATTGAGCTTTTAGTACATCCGCGTAATGGTTTGCTGTGTGGGATGGGGAAGAAGTTATATCGTTTTAAACATAGTCAAAAATGCGAACTTCCCGACCGACACCGGCAAAGTCGCCTCAGGGCTCATTAACCCCGTGACCCCGAGCCGGGGAGCTCCAGCAGGCTGCTGAGTCACGCGAACTAAAAGTAACAGAATCAGGCGAAAAGTGACGCCGTGTGCGGGTGGGGGGGGGGGGGGCTTGCCCCCCGACCTAACAAAATCATGGTGGGTTTTCGGGCGGCATGGCCCTGATTTTGACCTTAATTTATAGTTGTGCTATTAGGTTTGTTAGGCTATCTTTCCATCACACACATCAAGAAGTAATCGTTTGGAACCAGAAGTAATCATCGGTGGGGTCAAAACTAGTATCCCCAAACGGGACCGCAACGGGGCAATTGTAGCCTACAGGAGTACCATGAAATGGCCTTCACCCAGCCCATTAATTTGACACAAAACCTGAAATTTATCTCTACAACTTATAAGTCATTCTCAGTGCTGTTCCGTGTGTGTCTGTGCTATAGATTATAGGCCTACTGTACGTTAGCACACCTGAGGGGGGTGAGAATGGCGAGACATAGGGCCATAGGCTGGTGAGAACAACACTTCCAACTCTAATAAGTTACAGTCAAACCTGCCTTAACGGAAACCTGTATAAAACGGAAACCTGTCTTAACGGAATCTCCCCACTCCCCCCTTGATATATTCCTCTTTAATTACCTGTATAAAACGGAAACCTGTCCAATGCGGAAACAGAAAGAAAAATCCGCTCCCTTATGACGGTTTCACCTGTCTAAGACGGAAAATGCTTTGCCCGCTCAACCCTCATTTGAAACAAAACTCGCGAGTTTTTGGTTCCGCCGGCGAGGAAGGGGAGTAGGGGTGCAATTTGGGGGTAGATGTGACCCCATCATGTGAGTCCTGAGCGATGCAGATGGTCTGGGTAGTGTGGGAGTGAAATCTCACAACCACCCGTGAGAGTGCTCGAGTAGCCTAGCGAGCCACACTACGGGAACTTTCTCGGGTAGCCAAAAGCCAGAGGTGTGAAATTAAATTAGATTGACCAATGCCTGCCGCCCTGATCAAACGGCCAGCTGAGATAAAGAGTTCCTCAAATCCTTGTTAAATGATGGCAGTGGGGGGGCGGCATTGGTTGACTGGTCTTGTTACACTGGTGGGTGGGGCTAAGGGTGGAAGCAAAGGATGTCCAAATGTTACTGTATTTAATAAGTTAAACAGTGGTCCTATGAAAGGCAAGCACTGGTGGTAATTGGATAAGTTAGTAAGACGGACGCATGTCATTATCAGACAGAATAGCAATTGTCTGATAGGTGTGAAGTTTTGACCACTGCTTGCCGATCAGACAAGCGACCCTAGATCCCACCCCACCAGCTGGGCCTTTGGGTGCTTTTTCGGTAGTTCCCACCCCCTTATTTGAGCCTGACCTACATCTAGATCTATACGTTTGATGCGAGTTAAGATATCAAACCTAACAACTGCAAAACATCAAATTATGGTAAAATTCAGGGGGGCATGCCCACATGCGATTAAACGTAAAAAGACACAAACTATTTTTAGGTACGGCGCCCATCTTGTTTGACGTCACACCAGGATACCCCTCCGATCACGTGACTACATCTAAGTATAGCTAACCTCATGGTTGTCTATGTTATAACGCCTAATCTACACCACACTCTCAGAAGTTCTGATGGCCAAATAGACAGCGTGTCTAGGAGCGGTTCGATTCCGGTTCAAGGCTATTTTTTTGTTTTCTCTTTTCCCCCTCCCGACAGACCAACAGTCGCATAAATTATAATTTGTAGAGCTGCTTTGAAGTTTGTTTGTTTTTTAATGTATATTAGTGATGAAGAATGCAGGAGAGGGGGG